TTATAAATTTTATATTATGTGAATCACATGACTGTTTTTAGTTCATTACTCCATCCTCATTAGCACCATGTTGGTATAAATTTGATTCATATGGACCCATGAAATGAAGAAAAATCTTGTCCAAGATGTAACCACATGACCTATATTGTCAAAGAGAAGGCCACATAACTTATGTGATGTGATTCTATTTATTTTTGGTCAATTAAAATAATAGCATGAAGTTTGTAGATTAAAAAACACAAAGTGTACATTGAGGAACTGATGATATGAAAGACAAACAAACAGGTAGATGGTTGGGGGGGGGGGGTTTATGCCAAAAAATATTCCTTTAATGCCTTCTTTTCCTTTTGGGAATTGGAGAAGTTAGTCTTCGAAATTGGCTTTGTTGCCCTAAACTTTTGACCGATCAACTTCTTGTATGTATTTGAAAATTTGGTTATAAAATGTTGCCGTTATACTTTTAATCATATATTTCTAAGCCTACCTCAAAAGTAAGATTTCTAAATCCCTCTTTAAGGACCAACATTTTATCTTAGCAGGCATCAAATCTCAATAGTTATCATAATCCTTATTGAACTAACAACATTTAAATTTTGTTTACAAAAATTCATTGTGTAGCAATTAGAGATCGTTAATTCAAGTTGAGAAATATATAAGTTCAATAAAACAGATCTATCTATAAATAAATAGGAGTACTTTTTGTGCTCCACTTAATAAAATTATTGTTTAAAAAAAAAGTTTATCTTCTATTGTATATACTTTTGCATCATTATCTTTAGATTGGAGAATGATTTTCACATGCAGTGAATTAAGATTAAGCAGGGTAAAAATTATTTATTTTGGACTAGTGTTTATTTCTACTATATTAATTTTATGTGTTTAACTACCATATCAATTATAATTTCAAAGAGGGAATATAATCCAGTAAAATTCATTGACTGACATCCAATTTGTCAGGGTGGAATGGGAATCACCTGCGCTCTGGAAAGAAAGCAAGGTGAAGAGGAATGGAAGACTGGAAAGTAGAAGTATGATCAAGAAATTTCACTGCACCAACTGGCTTTGCAGCCTGGTTTTTGACTTCACTTTGATGCCTTGGTGCAGGCAGCCTAGCAGACAAGATGGGTAAAAGAAAACATTGTTTACAATCTTTCCCAGGTGAAAGGGGAACAGGCCTATGATAAACCGTTCCACTTTCCCACATCTTTCACAGTTTTTTATGCAATTTTTGCATGAAAAATTAAAATAAAATGTGTTTTTTTCTTTAGAATTTTGTTTCATTTCTATATATTTTTCATTTTTAAGTGAAACAAGTACCTATATATTGGTCGAGATCCAATTGGGTTAACTTCTTGTAGTTTTGAAAAATATTAAATTTTTTAAAATAAATAAATAGATAAATCTTGAAGAAGGGGTGCTTGTTTTTGCTTCTTGTAATGCAAGCAGTGAAGCAGATGAAACAAGAAATTTATATCTTTTGAGAAGGCGAGGAGAAGAAGTTGGTTACCCTTTTTTTTTTATTTTTTTTTATTTTTTTATAGCTTAAGAGCAAATTTCCTTCTAATATTTTGGTTCAATAATGCTAAAAATCTGATGTGTACAAACTGAATCGATTTTACTGAATTTCTTAAGATTGAGATTTGAGACATTACTACAACTAGACTTTTTTTTTTTTTTAACAGTTACTTTAACTAGATTTCAGAAGGGTAATAGGAGAGAAAAAAAATTTAAGGGAGGGAAGATATTTTGACTGTAAGCAAAGGGAGATGTACTCAAATTTTGCAATGACAGCAGATTTTTGGTGAGCTTTAACAGGACAATTGATGGGTGGGGACAGATGTAGACAGATGGTCCCAGTTACTGGCAATCAATAGAGGGTCCATCCCCTGTGCAAGTATGCCCCATAGTTCAGGGAGAGAGCACAGAGGGTAGAGACTAGAGAGATCCCCGTGAGCTTGACAAACTAAAGAGGGTCCCCAACAAGCGGCAGAACACCAGGACAGCTATTAGTTGTTGGAC